TGTGCACCCTCTCCAATATCTCCACATCCTTCCTAACTGCCCTCTGAAATGTCTGAGTTAGCCATTCAATTCAAGGGCAGTTAGGGGTGGGCAGCAAATACTGACTTTACCTGGGAGCCCCGCATCTCAGCAAATGATAAAGTTAAAAAGATGACAAATTTTCTATATTGCGATAGCAGCTACACTTCAGAAGTACTTCATATGTTTTCATACATCCACAGTCTCAGATTAAACGGGCACCAATTTAAAACTGAGATAAGGAAGAATTTCGCCCCTCAGTGGGTTGTGAGTCTTTGGAGTTCGTTGCCACAGAGAGCTGTGGGGGCAGAGTCCTTGTGTATATTTAAGGCTGAGATAGAATTAGAATTGGAATTACAATTAAACTTAGAATTAGCTTTATTGTCACATGTACTCACAGGAATACAGTGAAAAGTTTAGTCGCCACTTACAGTGCCATTTTAGCTACAAAGGTGCCTAGGTACGGAATCTTAAGTACAAATTCTCAGGAATAAATTAGATAAATACAAAACCACAGGAATAAAATAGAAAAATAAAGGAATAAAAAGTTCAGAATTACAGTCCCTCCACTTTAGTCTGCGCCACAGCACCTAGCCTCCAGACTCAAAAAGGAAATTACACAAATAAAGTTCATCTTCTGAACAAGGGTCTGGGAAGCAATGGCTACAGGGAAAGGGCAGGAAAGTGGATGTGAGGAATGTCATCTCGGCCATGATCCTATTGAATGGTGGAACAGGCCCAAGTGGCCGAATGGCCTACTCCTGTTCCCATTTCTTATGGTCTTGCGGCCTTATGAAAGGCACTGTACAAATGCAACCCTTTCTATTGAATTGATTTGCTGCAAGTGCAAACTTCAGTTCAATCAGATGCCTACCTGTGTGCTGTCTGTATTGCTGCATGCCATGATATCCCTTGGCACTAGGAAAAGAAATATGCCATTCTTACCCACTCACAAAATAACAACAAAACAGTCAGACCCACAAACACAGCGAGGGCAAGCATTTAGTGAAGGAATAAAACTTGAACAAAATGTAAAATGGTGTTCAAAGCTTCATTTTCTAAATGATAAAATCAAGACCCCAATATACATTTGGAGAACAGAAGTGAGTGTGTATGTTACAAAGAGTAGCAACTCCTATGCATTGGTAGAGAACTGCAGCCCCTTGCATACAAACAAGAGTTAGGCCACTCGGCCCTTTGAGCCTGCACCGCCATTCAATAAGATCATGACTGATCTGATTCTAACCTCAACTCCACATTCCTGCATATCCCCGAAAATCTTTCATCTCCTTTGGTCGTCGAGAATCTATCTACCTCTGCCTTAAGAATGTTTAAATATTCCGTAACCAGTGCATTTAGGGAAGGGAATTCCAAAGACTCACAACCCTCTGAAGGAATAAAATGTTTTCTCATCTCTATTTTAATAGGTCAAGCCCTTATTTTAATCTAGTTCTAGATTCTGTCACAAGAGGAAACATCCTTTTCACAAGTTGTCTGGTCAAGTTCCCTCAGGATCTTATATGTTTCAATTCAGTCATCGCTGATTCTTCTAAATTCCAGAGGATACAAGTCTACCCTGTCCAGCCTTTTCTCGTTTGGCAATCTACTCATTCCTGGTATTAGTCCAGTAAACCTCTGAACTTCTTTCAATGCTTTTACATCCTTCTGTGAGTACAGTGACCTGTCTGGTACACAATGCTCCAGAATCAATCTCATCAGTGTCTATTTCATAGACTTATACAGCATGGAAACAGACCCTTCATTCCAATACATCCAAGCAGATCAGATATCCTAAATTAATCTACTCCCATTTGCCAGCATTTGGCCCATATCCCTCTCAACCTTCCAATCCATGTATCCATCCAGATGCCTTTTAAATGTTACAATTGTACGAGCCTCCACCACACCCTCTGGCAGCTCATTCCACCCTCTGCATGAAAACGTTGCCCCTCAGGTTACTTTTATATTTTTCCCCTCTCACTTTAAACCCATGCCCTCTAGTTTTGGAATCCCCCAACCTGGGAAAAAGACCTTGGCTATTCACCCTATCCATGCCCCTCCTGATTTTATAAACATCTATAAGGTCACCCCCCACCCGAGTCCCCAGTGCTCCCGGGAAAATAGCCCCAGCCTATTCAGCCTCTCCCTATAGCGCAAACCCTCCAACCCAGGCAACATCCTTGTAAATCTTTTCTGAACCCTTTCTAGTTTAACAACATCATATTACAGCTGAATAAAGGCAACTACAGAGGCATGAGGGAGGAGCTGTGAGAATTGACTGGAAGAGGAGCCTAGCAGGGAAGACAGTGGAACAGCAATGGTAGGAGTTTCTGGGAGTAATTCAGGAGACGCAGCAAAAATTCATCCCTAGGGAAAAGAAGCATGGTACAGGGAGGATGAGGCAACCATGGCTGACAAGTGAAGTCAGGGATAGCATAAAATCAAAAGAGAAAGCATATAATGTGGCGAAGGGCAATGGGAAACCAGAGGACTAGGAAGCTTACAAAGACCAACAGAGGGCAACAATAAAATAAATAAGGAGGGAGAAGGTTAAAAATGAGGGTGAGCTAGCCAGTAACATAAAGGAGGACTGTAAGAGTTTCTATGGATATATAAAGAGCAAAAGAGAGGCAAAACTGGACCTTGGACCACTGGAAAATGACACTGGAGAGATAGTAGTGGGGAACAAGGAAATGGCTGAAGAACTGAATAATTACTTTGGGTCAGTCTTCATAGTGGAAGACACGAGTAATATCCCAAAAATTCGAGAGAGTCGGGGGCAGAGCTGAGTATGGTGGCCATCACCAAGGAAAAGGTGCTAGTAAAACTGAATGACCTGAAGGTGGATACATCACCAGGACCAGATGGACTACACCCCAGAGTTCTTGAGGAGATAGCTGAAGAGACAGTGGAGGCATTAGTAGTGATCTTTCAGGAATCGGTAGAGTCAGGGAAGATCCCAGAGGACTGGAAAATTGCAAAAGTGTTTAAAAAGGGAGTAAGGCAAAAGACTCAAAATTACAGGCCAATTAGCCTAAGCTCGATCGTGGGTAAGATTTTAGAGTCCATTGTAAAGGATGAGATTTCTGAATACTTGCCAGTGCATGGTAAAATAGGGCAAAGTCAGCATGGCTTCATCAAGGGGAGGTCATGCCTGACAAATCTGTTAGAATTCTTTGAGGAGGTAATGAGCAGGTTAGACCAAGGGAAGCCAATGGATGTTATCTACCTGGGCTTCAAGAAGGCCTTTGACAAGGTGCCACACAGGAGGCTGCGGAGTAAGATAAGGGCCCATGGTGTTAGAGGCAAGGTGCTAGCATGGATAGAAGATTGGCTGTCTGGCAGAAAGCAGAGAGTGGGAATAAAAGGGCCTTTCTCAGGATGGCAGCCAGTGACAAGTCGTGTTCCACAAGGGTCAGTGTTGGGACCACAACTTTTCACTTTATACATTAATGATCTCGATGAAGGAACTGTGGGCATTCTGGCTAAGTTTACAGACGATACAAAGATAGGTGGAGGGACAGGTAGTATTGAGGAGGTGGGGAGGCTGCAGAAGGATTTGGACAGGTTAGGAGAGTGGGTAAAGAAGTGGCAGATGGAGTACAACATGGGAAAGTGTGAGGTCATGCACTTTAGTAAGAAGAATAAAAGCATGGACTATTTTCTAAATAGGGAGAAAATTCAGAAGTCTGAAGTGCAAAGAGACTTGGGAGTTCTTGTCCAGGATTCTCTCAAGGTAAACTTGCAGGTTGAGTCAGTAGTTAGGAAGGCAAATATAATGTTGGCATTTATTTTGAGAGGACTTGAATATAAAAGCAGGGACGTACTATTGAGGCTTTAAAAGGCTCTGGTCAGACCACATTTGGAGTACTGTGCACAGTTTTGGGCCCCATATCTCAGGAAGGATGTACTGGCCCTGGAGCGGGTTCATAGGAGGTTCATGAGAATGGTCCCAGGAATGGAAAGCTTAACATATGAGGAACGTTTGGGGACTCTGGGTCTATACTCATTGGAGTTTAGAAGGATAAGGCAGGGATAATTGAAACTTACAGAATACTGAACGGTCTGGACAGAGTGGATGTTGGGAAGATGTTTCCATTGGTAGGAGAGACTAGGACCCGAGGGCACAGCCTTAGAGAAAAGAGATAAGAAGAAATTTATTCAGCCAGAGAGTGGTGAATCTATGGAATTCACTGCCACAGAAGGCTG